CTTGTGAGCGAATTCGGCACGGAAAACAGAAGTTTGAGATCCGTGCAGGGTACAGGACAAAGGCAAACAGAAGCGAGGACGGGGCAGACAGTTGTGATAACCGTTCAGCCTCCAAGCACCATTGGCTGAGTACCAGAGGTAGTCAAAATGTAAGGGTAGTGAGCGCATATTCGCGGGGAGATGCACCTTAAAGTTCACGGAGATTTGCGCATGCACTTTGGGTATGCACAAAATATGCGCCTACGCTCACGATATAAGCTGAGTCTACAAAAGAAAGATGCGCTGACAGAACTGCAAACGACGGAAATGACGTTGTCACGTGATTTAGCGAAGCATGAAATAGATTCGCTAAATTTACGCACAACTGACAAAGAACTTCGCAAAAGGGCACAACCTCAACTTACTTAGAAATGAATAGCATCAACAGTCAAAACCTCAGAAACTGTGAAGAGCTAAAGCAGTTCATGATGAATGATAATACTTTCATAATAACAAGTATAGTCGAGGAGCGACATAAATCGCATGTAGTGTTACGGTAGAACTACATACGATAACGTAACGATGGCCTTCTTGGGAAACACCGTCTTCAGGTTTTTGTTGACCTTATAGTGGACTGGGCTGTCTAGGAACGATATTCGGTCATTTTTTGTGCCATTTAAAATAAGATGTGAGAAGAAACAGAGTTCAGGAGCGCAATTAGTTCCACGACCACTTCCCACTTGTGGACGACGAAGGCATCATCCATACGCCGCCCCAAAATAGACACGTGGGTTGAGAAAATTAATACTTCCAGCTTTTGGAGAACTGCCTCAAGGATAAAGCCAGATGGCGGTGATAGCACTAGAGTACCTTGGATTTGCACGCACATCGTCCTTTAGAATGCATTATAGGTACTGAGGGCGAATGTTAGCAGCCACATGAGGGGCCTTCGTTCAGATATCTTTTTTGTCCCGTTCTACTGGCTCTGAAGTAGGCCGCCCACAATGTAAATGTTCAGACTGAGTGTGATCGAAGCTACGACTAGAGGTAACGTCAAATGACACCCTGACCTCATCTGTAAAAAGATGTAAAAATAAACTGCGGGCCGTTGCACGGAAACCTAATTTGAACCCAGTTAAAGGTGAATTTTCTGGGAAAATACACGATAAGTTGAAGAGCATTCTTTTTTTAACAATTTGAGCCATAAATAGAAGCTTTTCATGGTCGTTTCGGTCGGATAGATGGCCAGTCGCTCTGTCTTGATTACTGTACCTTTTTTCTGCAACCAGTTTTGGGGTGTAGTAAGTTGTGTCACCAGTCGTATCATCAGTTTTCCATTTCCCCCGAAGGATGCTTAAGGGTCCTCAAGCAGAGTGCTTGTTTTTCAGAGTCATACAATCTTGCCACGTGGAGCATTTTTCGTCTGCCGGCAGTACGATGTCATTATAAGCCTCCAGCGCTCCGAGGATATCCTTTTAGGGTCTCGGGATGACCACACGCGGTTTGCATGTAATTGCCACGGAGGTAACTCGTTGCCGAATGATGCAGTTTGTCTCGCTGTACTCCTGGGAGTGTTTTAGAATCTCCCGATGGTTGTTACGTTCTCGGTAGCTTATCTAAAGGTCTGACCGTTCGCTGGCAGATGGGGGATGCTTGTTTATGAACCACACCAATCGCAAAAGGTTTCAGGATTCCTGCTGTCAATCGAGAAATTTTCTTGTGGGTCAGAACTTC